AGGAAGGGGGGAGCTGCCCAGAGAAGGGCTACCTGTCCACAGAGAGGTGCTCGTGTCCCATCATGAACTGGAGGTTGTCGACGACCACGTGGGTGATGTCATACATGTAGACAGCGTGCTGCATGGTGTCAATCACCGTCCTGGGCAGAGGGAGACTGGGATCAGCCACAGGGATGAGCAGAGGCGAGAAGAATGCTAAGCCAGGCACAGGGACAGGCAGAGTAGGGAGACACCAGGCTGGTGCCAATGCCAATTTGGCCACTGACCACCTGGCCCTGAGCTCATCCCATCCCCACGTCTCCTCTCTGGTGGGATGGGGGACAGCCCCATAGCCACAAGCGACCAGGAAGACCTAGTTGCTGCCCACCAACCCCACCACCCTGCGATCCCCCCCAGCCCATGGTGACCCTCTGGTCCTTTCTCCTCAACACTCGACAAGGCTGCCAGCTGAGCGGGGTGTGCGGGGACACATCCTGCCAGAGACAGGGGCTGGTTTTGGAGCAGCAACCCAGCACAGGGAAGGGTCCTCTCCCTTCACCCCCACCCCAGAGGGAGACTATGACAGTCCCCACAGCGGCAGTTTGAGCCACACAGTCCTTGTGGACCAATCCAGGGACTTGACCAGTCCCAACATCCTCCTGCTAACCCCAAATCCACAACCTACTGCAACAGAAAAGCCCCAGACCCCCAGGGCCCCACAGCACATGCTCTGAGGGGTGTAAACACCACCAGGACGAAGGTGTGGGACCATACTTGATGTTCTGCTGGCCATGGAAGGTCATGAAGTAGAGCGGGAGGTCCTCGAAGCGGTCAGCCCACTCGTCGTACAGCTCCAGCTGGTCCTCCAGGCGCTGGGCAGCAAACTGAGTCAGCATGATCTTGGCAAGGCGGACGTTGTTGATCTCAAAGCTGCCCCAGAGGGTGCACACCCCCTGCATGCACAGGTCCAGGGCGTACTCACTGATGAAGGTTGTCTTCCCACTGCCCGTCGGGCCTGGTGCAAGAACAACAACAACAGGAGAAATTAGCTGGGGGAAAGATCTGACCTGTCCTGAACGCACCAAGAGGTTGTTTATAGAATCATAGAGTTGTCCAGGCTGGAAGGGACCTCCAAAGGTCATCTAGTCCCACCCCCCCACAGTCAGCAGGGACACCCCCAACTAGACCAGGTTGACCAGGGCCTCATCGAGCCTCACCTTGAATATCTCCAGGGAAGGGGCCTCAACCACCTCCCTGGGCAACCTGTTCCAGTGCTCCACCACCCTCACAGTGAAGAACCCTCTCCTAATCTCCAGTCTAAATCTGTTCCCCTCCAGCTTAAAGCCATTGCCCCTCGTCCTGTCACTGCAGGCCTTTCTAAACAGGCTCTCCCCAGCCTTCCTGTAGGCTCCCTTCAGGTACTATATCATTGATAAAAATGTTAAACAGACAGGGAGATTAAAGGCACCATCAGCAAGTTTGCGGACCACACCAAGCTGTGTGGTGTTGTGGATACACCAGAGGGACGGGATGTCATCCAAAAGGACCTGGACAGGCTGGAGAGGTGGGCCCAGGTGAACCTCATGAGGTGCAACAAGAGCAAATGCATGTTTAGAGGTGGAAGCAACGGGGAACGGACTAAGAGGAGCCCATCTGCTGCACTCCCACCATAAATAAGCAGGAGGCTGCATGTCCAGGCACATGTGTGCCACCTCCAGCAGCCAGGGGGTCCCTGTGGGTCGTGGGGAAGGGCTGGGCAGCTGGTGGTGGAGCACAGGGAGGGCTCAGGCAGGAGGCAGCAGATGGGAGCAGGGGGAAAGGACACCCCATGAGTCCCTGTGCTGCCCTGGGCAGGGAGCCTGTCACCACATCGGTGTGTGCCTGTCCCCACCACACCCAGGAATGCTCTCATGCACCCCCACGACAGGCTCAGCCGAAGCCATGAGCACAAAGGGACCAAGAAGACTCATGAGGTGTCACCCCCAGGAGAGTGAAGCCACCAAAGAGCCCTCCGCTCCCCTTCAGGGCGCCCATCACCTGTGAAGATGGTGAGCTCCCCTCTGCGGTGCCCTTTAAGGAGCTTGTTGAGCTCGGGGAAACGTGCCCACTTGATGCCAGCCACTTGCTCGGTGTTGACCAGCTCCCCGAACACCTCCTCGCGCAGCTGCCGGAAGGAGACGATGGATTTGTGGCTGGCGGGCAGGGCCGCACGCAGGATCTTGGTGAGGTTCAGGCCTTGGTTCAGAGCTTCCAAGGGCCGGGGCTGGAGGTCCCCGGGGCGCACCAGGGAGCAGCGCTTGAGGCTCAGCTTGCGGGCAAAGAGCTTGGCAGCTTCCCAGGAACGTAGGTCCTCACCCAACCACAGCGTGATACGCTTGAACTGCTCCAGGTAAGGCAGGAGGGCAGGGGGCAGGCAGGTGGCCCCCCGGGGCAGGGCCAGGCTGGCCACCCCTGTAGCCTGGTGCAGGGCCAGGGCATCCAGCTCCCACCCAGTTAAGACCAGCTCCGCGTCTCGGCGGCTGATGAGGGGCAGCCCAAAGAGATTGCGGTAGGAATCGAAGCGGGGTAAAGTCTCTTCCACGTAGGCCACCGCATCCCCCTTCTTCTCCACCCTCACCAGCTTCAGGCCCTTCAGGGTGGCATCCCGGGGGCTGAACCAGGGGAAGACGAGGGATTTGGCAGTCCTCAGGTAACGCACCCCAAAGCGCTTCAGGGTGGCGTCTGTCACCAGGGAGAGACCAAACATGGCTTTAGTCTCGTTGGTCTCATCCTCGTCCAGCAGCTCCCAGAGTGGCAGCGAGCGGTCCCAGATGCAGCGGGCATCCTCCCGAGCCCGGCGCGTGTCCTCCTCCGGCTCCCCCGAGCTGGCAGGGGGGACGCCGCGGTGCCGCAGCTCCACGTTGGCCTGGAAGTCCTGCCAGGTGCCCTCAGCCAGGGTGGCCGTGCAGAGGAAGCTGCCGGTGGTCTTGTCAATAAAAAGCGTGTAAGGGACGCCGGTGGCCGAAGGAGGCGGCTGGTTCTCCCGGCCGTCGGCGAAGAGGCTGGGGGTGTGGAGGCAGCTGTAGCCGTCGTGGAAGGGGATGCCCTGGGCCCGCAGGTACTGCCGGATCTCGGTGATGGAGACGGAGGGCACGGGCCCCTCGGGGGAAGGCAGCACGTCCTTCTTGTAGCGCCGCTGGGTGAGGCGGCCCGGCACCCCGGGGCTCAGGGAGGCCCCTTTGCTCCTCGTCCCCCCGCAGAGAAGCAGCGAGAGGCGGCCGGCCGTCCTGCAGGGCCGCAGGGGCACCACCGCCATCCCGCCCGCCCGGGCCGCCCCGGCACCCGCCCGCACCGCTACCGATCCGCATGGACGGCGGCTCCGCGGCCTCCCCCCCCTCCTCCCCGAGCCCGGTGCCGCTCAGGCCGCCCGCCTCACGTGGAGCCCCACGGACGCCGCCATTGCCTGACCCCGCCGCCGCGCTCAGCGCGTCACTTCCGGGCGGGGTGGGCTCGAACCGGAAGCGGATGCGCTCCTTTTCCCTCTTCCGGTTCCGGGTTGAGGGCGGCGCCATGACGGGCCGCGGGGCGCCCAGCCGGTTCCTGGCCGCTGTCCTCCACAACGGCGTGGGCCGCTACGTACGGCAGCTCCAGCGCCTCCAGCTCCTCTTCAGCCCCACCGCCGCCGACTCCCGCGGCGCCAGGTACTCTCGGAGGCGCCGCGCCCGCTGCCCCCCGGCCCTCCGGGATAGGAGGGGGAGGGAGGGGGGCGGGGAGAGGCCTGGCCATTCCCCCCATGGGGCGGGAGCTACCGTGACCTCTGCCCTCTGACCCCTCCGGGGCTGACGGGCGCCCTTCCATCCCCCCCGCAGGCAGTTCGTGGAGGAGGCGGCGCTGGACTTTGCCCGGCGGCACCCTGAAGTCGTCCTCTATGTCAGCCCCCGCGCAGGGCTGGCCCCGGTGCTGCTGGCGGAGTACTGTGAGTGTGTGTGCCCGGGGGGGGACGGGACGGAGGGGGAGGAGGGGAAGAGCTGCGGCTCATAGAATCATAGAGTTGTCCTGGCCGGAAGGGACCTCCAAAGGTCATCTAGTCCCACCCCCCCGCAGTCAGCAGGGACACCCCCAACCAGACCAGGTTGCCCAGGGCCTCGTCGAGCCTCACCTTGAATCTCTCCAGGCATGGGGCCTCAACCACCTCCCTGGGCAACCTGTCCCAGTGCTCCACCACCCTCACAGTGAAGAACCCTCTCCTCATCTCCAGTCTAAATCTGTTCCCCTCCAGCTTAAAGCCATTGCCCCTTGTCCTGTCACTACAGGCCTTTCTAAACAGGTTCTCCCCAGCCTTCCTGTAGCCCCTTCAGGTACTGGAAGGCCGCTATTAGGTCTCCCCGGAGTCTCCTCTTCTCCAGGCTGAACAACCCCAGCTCCCTCAGCCTGTCCTTGTAGCAGAGGTGCTCCATCCCCCTGATCATCCTTGTGGCCCTCCTCTGGACCCTCTCCGTCAGGTCCATGTCCTTCTTATATTGAGGGCTCCAGACCTGCACACAATACTCCAGGTGAGGTCTCACCAGAGCAGAGTAAAGTGGCAGAATCCCCTCTCTGGACCTGCTGGCAACACTTCTATTGATGCAGCCCAGGATGGGACTGGCCTTCTGGGCTGCAGCTGCACACTGCCTGCTCATGTCCAGCTTCTCATCCTGGCTCCCCCGGGGGAAGCTGTGGGAAGGGGTCCAGCCTGGCCTGACCCCCTCCTGCTCTCCACAGTGAACGGGACGGTGCGGGAGGAGCTCATCGCCAGCAAGACGAGCGAGGAGATCAAGCAGTTGGCCACCAAACTGGCCGGCCAGTCCGGCCTGGACATCATTCGCATCCGTAAGCCCTTCCACACGGACAACCCCAGCATCCAGGGCCAGTGGCACCCCCTCACCAACAAACCCTCCGCCCTCACTGTCCAGGGCCCACGCCTCCAGCCCCAATAAAGCCTCCACCCCACACCTTTGTGTCCTTCTCTCCTCCTGCCTGCAGAGAGACACCGACACACCACATCCAGACAGAGCCATGTTTATTGCCAGGGGGCACGGGGGGCTGTGCACGAGGGGTGCTGGGCACGGAGGGTGATGTCCCTCCTTGAGGGGAGGGGGGGGGATGCCTGGGGTTGGCCTGCCCCTCCTTGCAGCAAAACCAAGGGTGGGGGCAGGATGGGAGAAGCCAGGCATCCAGCTCTTGCCTTTTCCCACTGATCCTTGCTCTTCTAAGGCAGGAAGGCCTCCAACCTCTTAGGGACCCCAGGGGCTGCCACCCCTCTCCTGTCCCCCCCGGCGTGGCTGAGCTCCAGGCAATATCCTGATCCTGGAAGTTGTGCTGGCAGGGAGCGCAGGGGAGGACGTGTACCCCAGCAAGTCTCTACCTCCCCTGCTTCTCGTGTCGCCACCCTGTCCTTGGGGTGTGAGATGCTTTTGTCACCTCAGTCCCTCAGCTTGTCCCAGGAAGCGGTAGGAGCAGAGGTAGTTGGGGGAATCTGGGGACAGTAACTGCCCCTGGAAAGTGCCGTGAAGAGCCAGAGGCCCCAGAGGGGAGGCAGGCTCTGCTCCGGGGCTGCTCCTCCTCCTCCTCGCTGCGTGAGGACATTTTCCCCCTCCCACACGTTGTTCCACACGCTGTGCCCTGAACTCCGCTTCTCCAACGGCACCACATGCAGGAGGGCAGACACACGTGATGTCCAGGGCCGCGGGGGGCATCGCAGATGCCAGGAAGACGTGGGTGCTGCGCTGGTCTCTTGCCAGGCTGGAGGGCACGGCGGTGCCTGCTGGTGCCTCTTGCTGCCCGCTGGCGGCTGCTGCGTCTCGCTCTTCCCCTGCAGCGCCCTGGGAGGGAGTGGTCCATCAGGATCAGGGGGGTCACAGAATCACAGAATCTTCTAGGTTGGAAGGGACCTTAAAGATCATCTTGTCCAACCATCAACCTAACTTTGACAAAAATAGACACCTGCACAACAAACAAGGAGCATCATCACTAACCCATACCTCCCAGCACTACATCAACCTGTCTTTTGAACACCTCCAGGGATGGGGCCTCAACCACCTCCCTGGGCAGCCCATTCCAATGGCTGAGAACCCTTTCAGTGAAAAAATTGTTCCTAATATCCAGCCTGAACCTCCCCTGGCGCAACTTGAGGCCATTTCCTCTTGTCCTGTCGCCTGTGACTTGAGAAAAGAGACCGACCCCCATCTCTCTACACCCTCCTTTCAGGGAGTTGGAGAGAGCAAGAAGGTCTCCCCTCAGCCTCCTCTTCTCCAGGCTGAATAACCCCAGTTCCCTCAGCCTCTCCTCATAAGACTTCTTCTCCAGACCCCTCACCATCTTTGTCGCCCTTCTCTGGACCCGCTCCAGCACCTCAATGTCTTTTTTATGGTAGGGGGCCCAAAACTGGACACAGTACTCAAGGTGAGGCCTCACCAGTGCCCAGTACAGGGGGACAATCACCTCTCGGGCCCTACTTGCCACGCTGTTTCTGACACAGGCCAGGGTGCCACCTCCCCAGAGCCCCCAGCCCTGCGTTTCACCTGTGGCCTCCTCACGGTGGGCACGCACCGTCCCATCGCTGCTCCGGGGCGCTCGGGGACATCGGGTTCCTCACCCCAGCTCCGTCCCTCGCTGAACCGTCCTCTCCCAGAGGGGGAACCCTGCGGGGTAGGGGGTGAGGAGGGGGCAGACATGGGAGAGCAGGCAGGGGCTGGTGGCCACCAAGGCCCCAGCCCTTCTCCAGCACCCTGTTGGGAAGGGACCCCCATACCCTGTGAGAGGCACAGGCACCTCGAGGTGGCCCCCAGCTCCTTCCCACCCCCCTTCCCCACTCCTCACCCACCTCTCAGCAGCCGTCCACCTCCCGTGTTGCTGAGGGATGCCCAGTGGGGCAGGTGGGAGTCCACGCGTCCACAGCAGCATCAATCATGCCTGAATGGACAGACAGACGGAAACTTTTCCTCCCCCCCCAGGTGTCCACCTTTAGCCAGGCTCCTGCCTCCAGCTCGTGGCCGCCGTCGGTGGGTTTTTATACATAAATAGAGCTCCCAAATTTAAATAGATTCTTTTTCTTTTTTTTTCTGTACAGTGAGTCTCAAAAAGTCAGTGAAAAGCTGAAAGGAACAGCCGGGCCCGGCCCGGCTCTGCCATCCAGGAGGTAGTTTCGCCTGAGTCTTGTGTAACACTGCTGGCAGGGGGGTGGGAGAAGGGGCTGGGGGGGGAGGGAGGAGGATCCCCCCTGCAGGACCCCCCCCCTCCCGGCCCCCTACACGGAGCTCTCGTCGAGCTTCTCCACGAGCTGCGTGTGTTTCCGCTTCTCCAGCATCTTGTTGAGCTCCTCGGTGAAGGAGGTGCTGTAGAGGGGGGAGGCGAGGGGCTCGTCCTGCTGCTGCAGCAGCATGTAGCTGTTGCCATTCATCTTGCGGAGGACGTTGGGCAGAGCCCCCACCCCGTTGGTGAGCTCGGCTGGCAGCGGCGGGGGCGGCGGCAACGGGGGCACGGCCACCGGCAACTCCTTCACCGGGGAGGTGGCCGCCGTGGGCGCCTCGCCGGGGATGATCCGCAGGCAACCGTCGGGGTAGGCAGACCCTTCTTCCTCCTCCTCCTCGTCTTCCTCCCGGTGGTGGCCTTTGCGCAGGCAGTTGGCCGAGACGGTCTGCAGCTCCACACTGGACGGCCGTGGTTCCCCCAGGACGTACTTGCCCTTGCGTTTCTCCAGGCAGGACATGTAGAGGAGGCCGGCGCTGAGCAAGGAGCACAGCACCACCAGGGCCACGATGGCGGAGATGTAGGCCACGTTCACGTCACCGGCCGCGTAGCTGGCGGCGGGGGGCAAGGTGGCAACCGTGGGGCTGCGGGGCATCTCGGCCAGCACGGTGAGGCTGTAGGTAGCCAACAGCGTCCGGAGGCCCCTCTCCTCCCCGTAGCAGCGATACTCCCCGCTGTGCCGGGGCAGCGTGTCCGTCACCAGCAGCCCGTCCACCCCGACGCGCAGCCCCTCCTGCCCCGCCGCCAGCGCCTCGCTGCCGTTCAGCAGCCACACGGCCCGTGCCAGGTTGGAGCGCTGGTCGCAGGGCAGCAGCACGTCATCTCCTTGCAGCACCGTCCGGTTCTTCCAGGGCAGGGAGCCTGCTGGGGGGGGGACACGGGACACATACAGTGCCTCGCACCCCTCCCGGACACCCTAAAGGGATGCCAGACTCCGGCATCCCGCCCCCATCCCCGCTGTCCCAGGGGGTGGCACAAGACTCACTGCGCCCGAAGGTGCTCCGGCATCCCTCGTTGCCGCTCTGAATGTCCTGCACCAGCCTTGTGCTGCGAGACACGAGGAGGGGGGGATTCAACCACACACCCCCCCCCATCTGAGCCCACCCTTTAAGGGGTCGTGGCCACCGGGAGACCCGCTGCTGGATGCCAGACCCATCGGGGGGGTGGCAGTGGGGCAACTGTGCCATGGGGTGACGTGCAGCAGCGCAGCAAGGGGGAGGTGGAAGGCTTGTGGGGATCCCCCCACCATGTCCCTACCTGTCAGCAGTGGCAGTGGCACGGCACACGCTGCCATCCCAGGCACAGTAGGGGTCCCGGGCAAGGATGCAGTCGTAGCAGGAGGCGTATCGGGCGCAGGAGGCCAGGGGCACCTGCAGGATCCCGCTGGCAGCCCCCACGTACAGGCTCCTCTGGGGGGGCAGGGGGGAAGATCTGGCTCAGCACTGCCCTGGCACTGCCCCATGGTGCCCAGAGATCTCCCCCCCAGCCCCACAGCACAGCTCTCCCACAGTGGGGGTGCAGGGGGAAGGGAGCATCATCACTAAACCATACCTCCCAGCACTACATCAACCCGTCTTTTGAACACCTCCAGGGATGGGGCCTCAACCACCTCCCTGGGCAGCCCATTCCAATGGCTGAGAACCCTTTCAGTGAAAAAATTGTTCCTAATATCCAGCCTGAACCTCCCCTGGCGCAACTTGAGGCCATTTCCTCTTGTCCTGTCGCCTGTGACTTGGGAGCAGAGACCGACCCCCATCTCTCTACACACTTTCAGGGAGTTGTAGAGAGCAATAAGGTCTCCCCTCAGCCTCCTCTTCTCCAGGCTGAATAACCCCAGCTCCCTCAGCCTCTCCTCGTAAGACTTATTCTCCAGACCCCTCACCAGCTTTGTCGCCCTCCCCCCTGTCCCCAGTTCTTCCCCAGCATTTCTCCCACCCCTCACCTGGGCGTGGGAGATGACCAGGCTCTCCACGGGCTGCGGGTCCTTGAACACCTGCACCTCCTCCACAATGTGGATGCTGGAGCCCACCACCACGGCCTTATGGATCCAGCCATCCCCTGGAGAGCACAGCGGGGTCAGGAGGAAGTGTGGGGTGTCCCTCCCCCATCCCAACTCCGCTTTGCCCGGCAGAGACCTGGCAAACTCATCCCGCCCTCACCTGTCCCCATGAAGAGCACATCGTAGGAGCGGCCATCGAGGGCCCGCACCCTGTCCACGGCCAGCTGGCTGTAGGCCACGTTCTTCTTCACCAGCAGCGGCTCCCCGCCGGCCGGCTTCACCTCCTCGAACATCAAGGGGTGCAGCTTGACGAAGTCCAGGACGCTGTTGGGCAGGTCCTGCGAGGAGTTGTAGCCCTTCCTGCGGGAGCGGTCCGTGATGCACTGCCCGGGGGGGGGAGATGGGGGTCAGG